CGAGTTCGCAGCACCATCTGGGCTTAGGAATCCAGTCCTGGGAGGAGAGTGAGTCGGCCACCCAGTCGCTGGCATCTCAGACTGGCCCGGGCTGTTCCTGGCTGGTTCTAGTTTTCCTTCCGCGGAAGCCACGCGGAAACCCGAGAATGCGCGTTTTCGGGAGGAAAGGAACCCGGGCGGGGAAACCCTGCTCAGGAGAGAGGGATCTGCGGCCGCAGAGAGCCCCGAGCGGGACTTGCCAGGGAAAGAAGACCCGGGCCCGGGCCCAGGTTTTGCTGCTGATCACTGAGCGGCCTCACTCATGGGTGTTCCTCTCCGCGGCCTCGGCTTTTCCATCGGTGCCATGAGCAGAGTTTGGACTACACGCAGTGGTTCTCAACCTTCCTAAGGCCGCGACCCTTGAATACAGTTCCTCATGTTGTGACCCAACCATAAAATTATTTTCGTTGCTACTTCCTAACTGTCATGTTGCTACTGTCATGTATCGGAATGTAAATATCTGATATGCAGGATGGTCTTAGGCGACCCCTGTGAAAGGGTCGTTCGACCGCCAAAGGGGTCACGACCCACAGGTTGAGAACCGCTGGTACAGGATCTGCAGAAGCCTGACATAGGATGGGTGCTCCTTACCTACTCGTTTTTTAAGAGGGAATGAATGAGATAGGGAGGTCTCCTAGGCGTCACTGGAGGCTGACGGCTGCATTGGATTAGTTGGGCATCTGTGGAATTACATAGTTCCTACAGCCTGAGAAATAGGTGGTCTTACCTCCATTGCAAGTGAGGAAATAGGTCCAAAAGGAAAGCAATTTGCTACTAAGAATCAAAGCCAAGTGTCGCCTCAAAGTCCATGCTACACTTACCCTCTCTCCCAGTAAGAGGGTTTCATTGAAAGATGTTCCTATGGAGCTGCAATTAATAATATGCGTCCTCTGCTGAAACGAACATCTCTGAAGCAGAACTGCATCAGATTCTTCTCTGCCTGTAGTTCCCAGCCTACAGTTTGTGTGAAATAGTTTGGGTGTCAATGCCAGAGCCACCATCTATGTTAACACTGTCATCAACAGGATCAGCCTAAATCACAAGAAAAACGAATGATAGTGGCGATACTTGCTGTAGTGATAGCAAAGCCATAAGTGAAATTGTGAGAACATCAAAATTTATAATAAAGACTTTTCTTTATGGTGTTTTAAGTTTATAAAGCACTTTGCAGTGGTTCTTCGTATTGATCATCTTGGTAGGTATTATTTTTTTTAATATATATATGTATTTTATTGATTTTTATTTTTACAGAGAGGAAGGAAGAGGGAAAGAGAGTTAGAAACGTAGATGAGAGAGACCATCCTGCGGATCAGATAGATATTTACATTATGATTCATAACAGTAGCAACATTACAGTTATGAAGTAGCAACGGAAATAATTTTATGGTTGGGTCACAACATGAGGAACTGTATTTAAAGGGCCAGAAGGTTGAGAACCACTGGTCTAGACTTTGGTTGAAACTAAGATCCTTGCATGAAGTCACATCCCTTGAAAATCTACACCTGATTGGGTGAATGGACTAGGAAAAAAATCGCTACTGATGCAGAGATGACAAAGAAGATTGCCTTTTATCCAATTTCAAAGAGAGGGAAAAAGGTGCCCCAAAGAATTCTTAAGCAGGCATTTCTTGATATGGATTTGGGTTTACATATATGTTACCCAAATGGCCTAAAAACTCCAAGCCAAGAAATTGGTATTAGAAGCCATCTGGGTTGGTAATATCCCTGGTTGCTTGGCAGAGTATATGCAGAATCTCTGGAGAGACCCACATGGCACAGGCTATATAGAATTCCCACAGAGTCGGGGTGATGGATGTGTTAAACAAGACTGCATATTGCTTGCTTTGTGCAGTTGGGACCATAATGTTATTTTTATATTAAGAAAAATAAACATCTCTGGCTCTCAGTGATCTCCAGAAATGGAATGATAGAACAGAACTTGTATACAAGCCAGCATTTGGATATGGATACACATTGAGCTGCCTCCTATTCTTGCAGAGGTCATGGAAGAAGTGACATCGTGCTCCTTCAACAACCCTCTGTTCCAGCAGGAAGACAAGGGAGGGGTCACCTACCGGATCCCAGCCCTGCTCTACATACCCCCCACCCACACCTTCCTGGCCTTTGCAGAGAAGCGCTCTACAAGCAGGGATGAGGACGCTCTCCACCTGGTGCTGAGGCGAGGGCTGAGGACGGGGCACTTTGTACAGGTGACTCCTCCCCGATCTGGGCCTGGGCCTCAGTTTCTCTCCACATTTGCTCTGCTCCTTTTCCCACCAGTGCAGGGACAACCCTGTGTAGGAGTTGAAGAGGAAAAGACCATAAAAGTAGTGCCTCTCACAGAGTACTTACTGTGTGCCAGGGGCACATTGATCCTCTCGGCCACTCCGTGACGTAGGAATTGTTGTCAGTCACATTTTACGGATGAGGAAACAGGCTCAGAGAGCTTGCCACATTGCTCAAGGTCACACAGCTACAATAAAGGAGTAGAAGCAGGCTTCAGACTTGATCTCTAACTTTAGAGGACTCCGGGGTTCATATGTACTTTTCACTCACATTCTCTTTTATCTTTCTAAGTCACTGAAAAAAGTAGACATTGTTAGTCCAGGGTTGCTGATGAGGGATCCTGGTGCTCTGAGAGGTAGGTAGCTTGTTTAAGACCACAACTAGTGCTCGCTTCGGCAGCACATATACTAAAATTGGAACGATACAGAGAAGATTAGCATGGCCTCTGCGCAAGGATAACACGCAAATTCGTGAAGCGTTCCATATTTTTTTAGAGAGAAAAAATAGAAAAAAAAAAGACCACAAGTAGCAGATAATGAATTGGAGGGTGTATGATAACAACAATCATTCTCTACTACTACTGTTCTTCTTCCTCATGCTTTATTCATTTTTATTCTCTGATTAACTCAGTTGTAGAATCTTGAAATTAGAAGAGTCATAAGCCCAACTCCTTTTCCAGTATAGAAATCTTCTGTATTCCATTGGTAGCTACTAATAGCTTAGTGGTTAAGAGCATGGCTTTGTAGTCAGGCAAGACCTACTATTTATTGGCTTTGTGACCAAGGATACTTGATTCTTTTCTGTTTCATCATCTGCAAAATGTGATTATTAATAGCAGTTGCATAGTAGGAACTCAACGTTAGTCATCTTCTATAAAGGTTCTGCTTACTCCTCAAGTAAGGAATTCATCCTGTGGCTGCTGTTAACTTTTTTTTGGAGGATGAGATGATCCACACTCCTCTATAATTACCCGTTGGTCTTGTTCTGCCTTCTGAGGTTCTGGGGTTGTCAATCTATACATGATGCAGTCCCTTCTGTTGAGACTGCTCTTTGGTATACCTGAAAGTGGGTGTTAGTGCCGCTGAGTTTTCTATTTTGGGGACTCACAACTTGAGTTCTTTAGTGCCTTCTTAGGTCACAGTCTGGATTTGGTTTCTGGGCCCTTGAAAACTGATTACTCTGGGATGTTAGAGTCCTTTTTAAAAGAATGGCACTCAGAATTGAACTTAGGATCCCAAGAATAGAGCCACCCCACCAATGAGATAGCTATCCCATCTTGTATCCTTTTCACGCATCCTAAGGTAAAGTAGCATTTATTTTTTGATCCTGCATAACACAGTTGACTAATAAATATTAAGTAGACGGTCAGCTAAAACTTACAAGTCCTTTTCACATTTGTTTTAAAAAAACACACAGAACTTTTAATTTTAGTAAAATACACCTAACAAAATTTTCCATCTTAATCATTTTAAGTGTACATTATGGTATTAACTGTATGCACATTATTGTGCAACAGATCTTTTTAAAACTTTGTCATTGTGCATGACAGCAGTTCTGTACACATTGAACAACCCATTCCCCGCTAGGCCCCCAGTCTCTCATAACCATTATACTACTTTGTTTCTATGAGTTTGATTATTTTAGGTATCTCATATGCAGTATTTGTCTTCCTATGATGGCTTATTTCATTTAGAGCAGTGATTTTCAAAAATTTAAGCAGTGAATTTTCAAAGTATGCAATACCTGACTATTTAGTCAGGGGCACTGACCTCTTTTCCCGTACATTGTCAAATTTAAAAAATGACAACAGCCAACCCAACACTAGTTGTCTGATGTGAATGAGTCAAAATTAAACCTGTTTTTTGTCAGATTAGCAAAAAATATATTTTTCTGTGTACTGCAGAATTTAGTAATTAGTTTATGTGTGCCATGGGATGAAAAAGGTTGAAAATCGCTGATTTAGAATAATATCCTCAAGGTTCAACTTGTAGCATATGGCAGGATTTCCCTCTTTGTAAAGACTAAATAATAGTTCATTGAATGTTTATCCATTCATTGGTTTATCCTTTTTGTTTAATCCATTCTTCTGTTGATGGACACTTGGGTTGCTCCCACCTTTTGGCTATTGTGAATAACGCTCTATGAACATGGTGTGCAAATATATATTTGAGACATTGCTTTCAATTCTTAGGATCTATACCTACAAGTAGAATTGCTGGGTCATATGGTAATTCTATTTTTAATTTATTGAAGTTCCTCCATATTGTTTTCCACATCAACAGTGCACAAGGCTTCCAGTTTCTCTATATCCTTGCCAACACTTATTTTGTGTGTGTTTTTTGGTAGTAGTCATCTTAATGGATATGAGGTGATATCTCATTGTAGTTTTTATTTGCACTTTCCTAATTATTAACAATATTTAGTATTTTTTCATAATGCTTGTTGGCTATTACATTTGTTGTTCTTTAATCATGTTTCTCCATCCAGACTTTTAAACCCAAGACTCATTTTACATTTCTGTCAAGCCTCAGCTTGTTTATATTCCATTGCTGCAGCTGGATGATATAATTTGGATTCTAGTGCTTTCATCTTTAGTTTACTATTTCTTCTAGCTTCATATAAACTTTATTTTAGACATTTCTGGTCCAAATCATTTTTTCCTCTCAGCTACTAAGGATGGCTAAGCTTCTGACTTCCCAATGACTAGCTTGCCCAGTACAGTAATTTCCCCCACCCTCCTATTCCTAAAGGGAGTAGCAGTGCTGATGAATTTCTTATATCTGTCTCAAGGTTCTTGATCTGAGCAATATTAACTATTCAAATGACTGTGCAGCAGATGAGTTATTTTTCATTGGAAACACGTTCAGTGCTATTCATAAAGTGTTCGTGTCCACACGGTGCTGAAGAGACAGGGTCTCTATCTTCAGAGTGACAGTAGGGAATTAAATCTGCTCCCCAGGCCTGTTCTAGGCACTTAGGAAGGAGAAGAGCCTCTGGGCATTGTTTATATAGAGTATTGTTTCTATCCGAGAGCATTTCTATAATCTTTCCCTTCACTCCTCCCTTATATTCTCCCCACTCCTTCCCTTCTTCCCCCCTTCCATTCCTCTCTTCCTTCTTTTCTTTCTCTGTCATTTCCTCCTTTATTGAGCACCTACTATATACCAAGCATTAAGTCAAGGGGGATGTGCAGAGGGAGGCAAAAGTTGAAAGATTCAGGCCTCTCATTGTGAAGAATTTGCACAGTTGAATTGCATAGAGAAAGCAGAACTGTGCACAGATGTAACTGTCCAAAACTCCCATACACAATCCATGAAGTGTCACAAGGCAAGTCCACTCAGAATGGGGTATTTCCTTAGAAGAAGGAGTACAAATGCATTTGAGGATTGGAGAAGTTATTGTGTGGCCACAGCATTATAGCTGATTCTTGAAGTGGGTCAAAGGTGAGCAGAATCAAAGATTTCTCCCTGGATTCTCCACATGCAGATATGGTCTTTTCCTTCTCTGACACCCATGGTGCCTTTTCTCCTTTCTCTGATGGTATCTGTGATCCTGGAGTCTGCTCTGTGGGTGCCTTTCCCCTCCTCAAGGCAGGAAGGCTGCACCCTCCCACTGGTGGCCTCCTGGACCTTGATTCCCTGAGAATCACAGGGAACTGAGTTTCTGCCTCCAGGGGTTTACAATGCAGTCAGATATTGATGTGAACTTATGCATAGAAAGTTTCTAGAGAGTAACATGCCATTTGAGAGGATTTAGGAAGCAGGCTTCAATTAGTTAGCAATCTGGGAGAGCTTTGTAGAGGAAGGAGGGCTTGTGTCCAATAATTACATTGACTTTGGCACATATGTTTGAAGTGTTTACAGTGCACAAGGCACTTACTGTAGAATGGGTTGCTCCAGTACAGGGATAGTGAGTTCCCTGTCCTTAGTTGTTGGGGTCCAGCCTCAGCAGGTCCAGGGGTTCCCAAAGGTATGGATGGAGTCGGCGAAGAAGGAATGACATGGAGACTGCGTTCAGTTGATCAGCATAGTTGGGTTCTCTCTTTATTGTCCTGTTACATCTGTATTTATACCATTTGATCCTATAAGCATGCCTCTATAAATCACATCATGGTATGTTTTGGGTAACGTTCTACAGTTCCTTGTTTCTTATCTGACCTTTGCCAAAAATCCTGTCTCTATCTAGTTCTGTTGATTTTAATCTTGTCTAAGTTAATCTCTGTGTTCCATTACAAGGGCTATTCCAAGGTCACTGCTCTACTGATAGGCTACAAGGAAGTGACTGAAGGAGATTATCCTACCCAGTAAAGGTTATATCCTCCCAGCCCCCCTGCTTGCCTTCCCTGGGACTGCCCTGTGTCAGGGGTAGGGTTATGTCCTCCCAGCCTCCCTGCTTGCCTTCCCTGGAACTGCCCTGTGTCAGGGGTATAGGCTTTGGTGCTTTCCCTGGTGGGCAGACCACTGGGGATGTGGGCCCAACAAGTCCCAAATTTATTGCCAACAGTCTTAGTCCAAGTTCTTCATAAGTAGTACATGGTATTTCTGTAACACTAGGGGGATTTACTGATTTATTCTCTTCCTTAGTCCTGTTAACCCCTAACCTGGGGAAACAACCTTTCTTGGGGAGGTGGCCCTGTTTAAAACACATAGCGCTAAGAAGGGGAGCAAACATATTAAGAACAGTATGCCAGGTCCCTTGAAACATAAGCTGTGCAGATGTTTCTTCCCTGCAGCAACTGTGTCAAGCAGCAAGGGTGGACTGGCTTCCGGCACTTAGTCTAGTTCAGGGAGGGACTGAATGATCTTTAACCAGAAAACTTAGAAGAGAATCTTCTGTAGGACTAGGTCCTTATAATTTTGAGAATCTGTGAACTGAGCTTTGCTTAATATTTTTTGCCATTCACATGGGAATTAAATTTTTAAAACTTAGTTTTTGTTTTGGCTAGTTAATTCATTTATATGGCTGAAAAATAAAAACAATATAAAAAGGTATACATCCCATTCCTAGTCTTTTACCTCCTATAGGCAGTCACTATAGTTTCTTATGTATCTTTCTAGTGCTTCTTCATACAGAAACAAAGAAATACAAGTATATATCCTTAACTAGAAGCCTGGTGCACAAAATTCTTGCACTCAGGCGGGTCCCGCAGCCCGGCCTGCACCCTCTCGCAGTCCAGGAGCCCTCGGGGGCAGCGGGCCTAAGCTGGCTGGCAGTCAGACATCCTTAGTGCTGCCACCGAGTCGGGAGAGGCTTCCACCACCACCACTGCACTCGCCAGCCATGAGCCCAGCTTCTGGCTGAGCAGCACTCCCCCTGTGGGAGCACACTGACCACCAGGGGGCAGACCCTGCATTGAGCATCTGTCCCCTGGTGGTCCGTGCGCATCATAGCGACTGGTCATTCCGCTGTCAGGCCGAAACCAGCTCTCCAACATCCCCCGAGGGATACCGGATTGTGAGAGGGTGCAGGCCAGGCCAAGGGACCCCACCGGTGCACGATAGGGGCCGGGGAGGGACACAAAAGGTTGACCAGCTGGAGAAGGGACCATGGGAGGGCTCCAGGGTGTGTCCAGTCCATCTTGCTCAGTCCCGATCGGCCGGACTCCAGCAGCAAGCTAACCTACCAGTCAGAATGTCTGCCCCCTGGTGATCAGTGCAAATCATAGCGAGCAGTTGCCTTAGCATATCATTAGCATATTATGCTTTGATTGTTGAATGGTCCACCGGACACTTAGCATATTAGGCTTTTAATATAGAATATACTGACTTCCCAATGACTAGCAAACTTTTTTTCCCAATAACTTTTCTTATGCCTTTTAAAACATTTAAATGTGAAGTGATAACACACATATAGAAAACATAATACATAAGACAAAATATAAATGTCAGCTCTGAATTGATAGAGCCAAACCTCGTGAATTTACCATTCAAGGAAAAAAATAGGATGTTACCCTAGAACAGTGGTTCTCAAACTTGGCTGCACATTAGAATCACCTGGGAATCTTTTTAAAATCCTGATTTCTGGGCCTCATCCTCCGGAAATTCTGTTTCTTTGTTACTAATGTTGTGGCCCCACCCCATAACAAAGAAACAGAATTTCTGGAGGATGAGGCCCAGAAATCAGGATTTTAAAAAGATTCCCAGGTGATTCTAATGTGCAGCCAAGGTTGAGAACCACTGCCCTAGAAGCTTCTTATGTCTCCTCTCTCCTTCCCAGAGGTAATTACTATCCTGATGTATAGCTCATGATTTTAGTTTTGCTTGTTTTTAATCATTTCTAAATTTTTAGTTTTTTAAATTACAGTTTACATGCAGTATTATTTTGTATTAGTTTCGGGTGTACAGCATAGTGTTTAGACAATCATATACTCTGTGTATCCTTGATGTTTGGCTTCTTTAGTTCAATATTATATTCTTGAGGTTTATCCAAATTAGGTGTACAGCTGTGAGTTGTTCATTTTCATTGTTACATAGTGCTCTGGGCCAGATGTTAAGCTCCTCTTCCTGGCACTGGTGCTTCAGGCTAGAATGCCTAGTAGGAGTTGAGACCCCTTGTTCCTCAGGGGGTACCTTTGCAGCTGAGGTATTCCTTCTGATTCGAAACCACCACATGTGGTTGCAGGGCCAGCCCTTTTTGTGTCTCCACCCTACCTACCAGTCTTGATGTGGCTTCTATAAATATTTGGTTGTAAGACTTTAGCTATTCAGGTTGGTTATTCAGGTTAATTGTTCTATAATTTACTTGTAATTCTGGTTTGGTCCTGAGAGGAGGTTACTGTTAATTCCACTTACTTCACCACCATCTTGGATCTCCCCCACAATGAGTAATATACATACTTAATTTGATGAGCAGATATAGCTTAGGATAATTTCCCAAAATTGGGCATGCTTAGAAAGGCTAAATGCATGTGTAGTTTTGATAGATCCTACATAAATGTTAAACCATGTTACACTCCAATTCATACTTGAGAGTGTCTGTTTCTTCACATTTTTTTTTGCCAACAGAAAAGTATTGTTAAAGTTTATATGTTACCAGTTCATTAGATGAAAAATACTATCTTACCCGGCCAGAGTGGCTTAGTGGTTGAGTGTCAGCCTATGAACCAGGGGGTTGAGGTTCAATCCCTGGTCAAGCACATGCTGTGTTGCCAGCTCAATTCCTGGTGGGGTTGTGTAGAAGGCAGCCAGTTGATGATTCTCTCTCATCATTGATGTCTCTCTCTCTCTTTCTCTCTCTCTCTCTCCCTCTCTGAAATCAATAAAAGTATTTTTTTAAACACTATCTTAATTTTAATTTGCTCTTCTTTATATGTGAGGTTGAACATATTTTCATTTTTTCTCTCTTTCTGTGAGTTGTCTGTTCTTGCTCTTTGCCCATTTCTCTTTTGAACCTTTCTTATCAATTTCTAATATTGTTTTAAAAATATATTAAAGTGGTTAGACCTCTTTGTGATATGTCTGATTAGGCATTATCTCATTTTATCCTTGCAACAACAACTCTCTGAGCATGTTATTACATCCTCCATTTAACTGATCAAGAAACTGACGCAAAGGAAGATTAAATAACTTGCCCCAGGTTGATATGTGATGAAAGCAGGTGCCTCTGACTCCATGCTTGAGTTTTTAATGACAATGTTATGAATTGCCTCCCCAGGATAGTAGAGGAAGGAAAAAAATCTTTGTCTTAAATTTCCTTTTATATGCCTAAAATTTCCATGTTTGTCTGTCTTGCTTTGTGTTTCTTTTCTTCCTTCTTTTTCTTTTTTTTGGAGGCGAGTCCTTTCTTTCTTTTTAAAAGTATTTATGTAGCTTCTATCATGTACTGAGCTCTGGAGATACAAAATTAGATTAATTGGTTTCTACTCTAAAAAGATTCATAGTTTAGGGAGGGAGCGAGTCACATAAAAATGTAATGTTATATAATAATTGCTATATGTCTTTTGTATATACAAAGAAAAAGCCTTTGGTATAAGACAGGAGGTGAGTTTTGATACCATTTATTTGAGCATCTAGACAAAGTGAGGAAGAATGTTTCGGACAGAGGGGATAGCATGAGAATTAAGTGAATAGTTGGGCCTTCACAATTTTATAGATTTTAATACCATTTACTTATTTTCTCTGAAAAGTTCCAATGCTTTTAATGAGCTTCATGTCTTCTTATTAGTCTCTCATTCCTGCTCTCTCTCCCTTCTTCTTGTCTAGTGGGGACCAGTAACACCACTGATGGAAGCTGTGTTACCTGGGCATCGGACCATGAACCCCTGTCCTGTATGGGAGCGGAACACTGGCTGTGTGTACCTGTTCTTCATTTGTGTGCAGGGCCATGTCACCGAGCGTCAACAGATTATGACAGGCAGGAATGCTGCTCGCCTCTGCTTCATCTGCAGTCGGGATTCTGGCTATTCATGGAGCAACGTGAGGGACCTGACTGAGGAGGTCATTGGCCCAGAAGTGAAGCGTTGGGCCACATTTGCTGTGGGCCCAGGTCATGGCATCCAGCTGCAGTCGGGGAGGCTCATCATCCCTGCATACACCTACTACATCCCTTACTGGTTCTTTTGCTTCCGGCTACCATGTAAAGCCAGGCCTCATTCCCTGATGATCTACAGTGATGACCTAGGGACCACATGGCACCATGGCAGGCTCATTAAGCCCATGGTGACAGTGGAGTGCGAAGTGGCAGAGGTGACTGGGAGGGCCGGCCACCCTGTGCTGTATTGCAGTGCCCGGACACCAAACAGATGCCGGGCAGAGGCTCTGAGCACTGACCATGGTGAATGTTTTCAGAGACCAGCCCTGAGCCAACAGCTCTGTGAGCCCCCGCGCGGCTGCCAAGGCAGTGTGGTGAGTTTCCGGCCCCTGGAGATTCCAAATGAGTGCCAGGACTGTAATGGCAAAGATGCTCCTACCGTTCAGCAGAGCCCTCTGCTGGGAAGTTCTGTGAGGCCAGAGCAGGAAGCTGGAGCACTGTCAGAGTCATGGCTCTTGTACTCACACCCAACCAGTAAGAAACGGAGGGTTAACCTAGGCATCTACCTCAACCGGACCCCCTTGGAGGCTGCCTGCTGGTCCTCCCCCTGGATCTTGCACTGCGGGCCCTGTGGCTACTCCGATTTGGCTGCTGTGGAGGAGGGCTTGTTTGCGTGTTTGTTTGAGTGTGGGATCAGGCGGGAGTGTGAGCAGATTGCCTTCCGCTTGTTCACAGACCAAGAGATCCTGAGCCATGTGCAAGGTGACTACACCAGCCCTGGTAGGAACTCTGACCCAATTCAAAACTAATTGGCTTAGGTTCCAACTTTCCATAGAAGGGAAACCATTAGAAGTCAACCATAGCCAGGATCATGGAGGCCAGGATAGCAGAGCTTACGGAAGCCTACAGGGGATCCCAAAACGCAGTATTCTGCTCCCTACCTTTTTCACCTCTCAAAGATAAAATGAAAAATTTGCCATAGCTACTGTAGCCGAAGTAGCACTGAACTGTGTGAATTGGGAGACCATGATATGATCTTGGGTCTGCCATGCTGGCTCTGGGACCTTGAACTGTCTGGGCCTCAGGTCTCCATCTGTAAAATGAGAGGATTGGTCTGTGATTTCTCTTCTTCCTGTCCCCAGGGAAGGCAGAGGGCCTGCTTGCTGCATGATCAGCAAGTCCTGGCTGCACATAGGACTCTGGTATCAAAATGGAAATCATAGGACTCGTCTTTTCAAATGACTGAGGTTCCAAGCAGATGTCATGTCATGAAGAAGGATCTGGATGATTTGTTCAGTAATAGACGAGCTCTATAGGCTATTCAAGAGGAGTTGGGCAAAACAGAAACAAGGTCACCTACCTTCTTTAGCTTTGCAACTCTGCGCAACCTGCCCTTACGCATCCAAAAAGCATTATTTCCTAGGGAGAGAATGAGAGGCTCAATACCAGTAGTCCATATTGTTTCTGATGGCATTATTTCTATGAAAGATAGCCTGAAGTTCATTTATTAGGATGGTTCCTGATGAGAAAAAGACATGACTTACGGCTTTAAAACATTGGACAAAACTTCCCACAGTCTCTGCCCTCAAGGAGCTCACAGTTTATGAGGCTAGAAGAGGGAGAAAATTTTTTTTAAAATGCAGTTGGTGGGATGTTAGTAGATGTTGGGCTCTAAGTTGCATAACTGAAGCTCATCATCTTAGTTGCATCTTTATTGTTCCTGGAGTCATCTGCCCCAGGGCTTGTCCAGGCTGCTAGGTTTCCCCTAAGTTTGTTTTTCTTAGACTATTGTCCCGGCCCAGCCACTCTATTTGCCAGTGGAGAAACTCTTCACCCTTAGGAAGGTCTTGGACCCTCCACACCGCTGAGTCTGGCCTGCTTGGACCTCCTGAAATCACTGTTTGCGAAGTGAGATGACCCTTGTCTAATAGCTTTGGGGCTGAGCTTTACTAATACTGGATCTCTCAGATGATACCAGATTGGTTGCTCTTATTTTAGGTTGTTTCCCCGTAGCCTGTTACTTTGAGGGAAATTCTATCATGAGAGATTTCTTTTTTGTCCCTCTTAAATCGGTATATCAGCTAACTACAGGGTGGGACAAAAGTAGATTTACAGTTGTTCATATGGAAAATAATACAATAATTAATAAATAATAGTACAAGAATAAACTGTGTTTCATGTACTCAGAACTTTGTCCTACCCTGTATGTATGGCGCTAGGTAATGGCCCAGAGAGCAAGTCTTAGTGGTAGAGCATAGCCTAGGATGCACCCGTCAGATAGGGGAGGAGTCCTATGGGAGGAAAGTAGGGATTAACTTCACCTACTTCGGCATGTAGCTTAAGCCAATGTCTTAGGGTGGCCTGTCATACATTCGTCATTATCTTCTCAGTAGTCAGCTATGATCATTCACTCATTTATACATTTATGTAGCTATTTCTTGAGTGCCTGTGCATAATGTAAGGTGCTTTCTGTTGCCATTTCCTGGTTGAAAATAATTTGTGGCTCCTCATTGCCTATTAAAGGCTACAATTATCCTGGCATGTAGGATGAAATAATGACTACTTATCTCTACTTCTTTATGTGAAGGCCACTGTCAAGCCCATTGTCAGGTTGGCACGTGGAGGCAGGTGGGGTGAGGTGGACAGAGTGGTGGTGTGGGGGGAGGATTGAAAGGGCATCCCCCTCCTGAGTTCTTGTTCAGCAAAGCTTTCCAGAGCACTGCACTCTAACTGGATAGAAATAGGCAAGATGGCTAAGCTCTGCATCAGGGCTAAAGGGTGGAGAGAATGAGAATATCAGGACTTCTTTGGGACCATCCAAGAAGGGAGGGACGTCAGTCCCATGCCAGTGTGAACCGCAGATGTCCAGTATGAGTGCTCCTAAAGACTTATCCAGCTCTAAATTGCCCTGCCCTTTCTCCTTCCCCTTTGCCTCATGTTTACTTCTCCTTAGAGAGAAATTCCCTTAATAGGCAATGAATTTCCTTAATAGGCAAAGGGCCTATGTGCACATTTTGGGAGTAGCATTTTGGGGACAGGCATAATCCAGAATGAGGATTAGCGAGAGGAACAGATGGGTGATGGCAGCTGTGAAGAAAAAGAATAGCAGGTAGAAGTCCTGGCACTTGGAGATAGAAAGGACAGACATGAGGCCTAAGCTGGAGAGATGGTGTAGGTGGTAGTGCTGTGAAGAAGAAATGATAACTGGCTGGAGCTGTTCCCTGAAACGAGTGGGAACAGACAAAGGACTGCACAGGCAGCAGGAAAATTCCTCCCAGCCCTGTAATTTTAAGCTGGCTCTACTTGATCAACAAAAACCACCATAGGCACTCAACTCTGTGCCAATTACCCAGGTCTTCAGGGCCCTGGGACCGACACCGTGATGCTGGTATCCTAACTAAGCCCACTTCAGCCACTTTCAGGTTGGTAGAATGAAAAGATAGGGCAGGTGATGGCAGCTGTGAAGAAAAGAGGAAAGACTGAAGGCCTCTGATATAGAGACATGAAGAAAGGACTGCATAGGTTGTGGTCCTTTGCTCCCAGATGCCCCATCCTGTCCTTGAACCCTTAGTAAGTATCCATCTAGCAAAGGTGGCCCCCCACGGGAAGTGCAAGAAAGCGCCCGTACTGTGGCCGCCTCCTGTTGGTATGTACCCAGCAAAGGTGGCCCCCCACGGGAAGTGCAAGAAAGCGCTGGTAGTGAGTGGCCTCCTCCTGCTGGTATGTACCCATCGTTCAATCTGCTGGTCCTGCTCATGCTCCCTAACTCTTGGTTCCTCACTCCTAGGCTCCTAATATTTACCTCAGGCCTTTGTTATTTGGCCCTTGTTATCTGGATCAGTTTTTCCTGGTCACCAGTCTCCCTGCAGATATCCACAGGGTAGCAGATATCCACAGGGTATCGTGTAACTACAGCCATAGGGAAGAGACCTTGCAGCCTGCCTGTGGGGTAGCCCGAGGGACCCACAGGCCACCCTGAGGCTGCACAGCCTCTGCCCAGGACAGTGGGATTCAGTACTTCCACTTGGGCCAGATGAAATTGCTCAGGCTTCCTCAGGAGGCCGTGAGTTTTCCCCACTGCGTTATTCAGTAGGTGTCGTGTCCTCCTGTGCTGCCACAGTGCACAGTCTGAGCCTCCTTCGGTCCTTACCACAGGCTGCCCTGTGTTATTGTCTGCTGTGCCCTCTAGGCCTCTGCTAGGCTGTGAACTCCTTGAGGGCCAAGTCTGACTCCTCACTGTATCCTCTTTACTTTGAATCACAATGCCTTGTTCTATCATATGCTAGAACAAATGCTTTTTCTACCATATTTTGATTTCCCTGTTGAGGGCTCTGAGTCCTCTCTGTGCTCTGCACCCAACACAGGGCCTGGTGCAGAATAGACAACAGAGAAGCTATGCTGAATGAATAAGGGAGTTAAAGACCCTTGGCCTTGGAAGCTAACTGAGAAGGGTAGGGTGAGTTCCCTCAGGGAGGAGCAGGTCACATCCCTCTGGGTTCACAGCACTCTAAAGGTGCTGAACACTCACCCTACATGAGTCTCCCCTGTGCTGGCCTGCTTCCACGTCAGTCACAGGATTTCCTGGGAATGAGCTTTTCTCTGGCTGCCTGGATATCCCAAGGATCATAGCCCAAGCCCCAAGCAAAGCCTTGATTTGGGGTTCTCATTTCACTGGTAACCCCCTCCCCCCACCTAATTGGATTTTCTATAGCTACTGCTCCTCCAGGACTCAGAGGGAGATGCCGGGGCTCAGCATGTTCCACGCCTGTCTTGGTTCTGTGATACTAGGAGCCACAAATGCTCTCTGTACTATGAAAACCACCATGACTCTTTGAAACAAGGAAGATGAATAAAAAGCATAATTCTGGCGACTACTGGTTTTGTTATTGTTAAGGAAACTGAGATCATAATCATTCTAATACCCAGCTTTTTTTTGGATTCAGCTTTTTTTTGGATTCGAGGCATTTTCTTGCTTTTCATAAGAACGTTAACTTTCAGAAAACATTATCATAATAATCCTTTGCACTTTTACATACTGTTACTTGAACATAGTGAGCAACTGAGGGCAGCAGGGCAGAGGTGACCATGGCTGGTTTGATGACACATTAGCTGTTAAGTGGAGGCGCCTGGGTGCACAGAATCCCCCTCTGGCACCAGCCTCAGTACTGTCAGCCCACGTCTCATTTCTTTTTTCAAAAATACCTTGAGATTACTCTCAACGTGCATTGGAGAGGCCACAAATATCTGCCTCAATGAAGTGGGGTGATAGCTTTTTGCTTGACTTTCTCTTTGTTACATTGGGGTGCTTAAGGCACTACTGATTCCGCCTCATTTCAGCATAACTACTCCAGTCCTGTCACTAGGTCAGCTGCCTTAAAAACACACACACACACACAAATTGACTATTGAAAATGTTTCAAATAGACATATCTTTTGTTGTGCCACCGAGAGTCATATAATGATGAAAGAATGAAGTTGAGAGAACTGCGAATTTGCCTCTAAAAATAGTTTTACAATAATTCTAGAATCATTTTAAAATCCAATGATCTTTTTTGTGTGTTTTGTTAGATTGCTTAATGTCTGAGGGACCTCTGGGTTTGAGAGGAGTATGCACCTCTACGTAAATTTTAGTGCTCCGTTTACTAAACTCATATTCAATATAACATTGACAATCTCTTGCGTATTTAAACAATAACATTTGATTAAACTGCCTTAACCATAAATAGTAGTTACAAATTTAGTATAGCTGATCCTTTTCAAACCCCTTACAAGTCAAACCCCCTACATAGTAGATAAAACAAATACATCCAATGCTTATAAAACATAAGCTTACATCATAATAGAGCTGAAAGAGTTGATGCTATGGAGTTAACTCTGTTCCTTATTATCCTTATGCCTTTCAGGACTTTTAGCTTTTAAACTCTTTAGAGTTTTGATGTCTTTACCAGATTTCCCCCTCTACTCTCCCAGGAGTTTAATAATAGCAGATCCAAAGGAAAGAGAACGCCATTTCAGACAAGCTCTCTCCAAGGGCGCATTAAAATGGGAGGTTGGAGACCTGGAAGCAAAGACAGCCACCTTGTCCTTGGTGGCGGAGATGCCTGTGTGCAGCAGAAGCCTGAAAGAATGGAGCCAGGCAGAAACAGCCCTTATGATATCCACTGGGGTCCTCCGCGTATGGGAAACTATAAACCCCAACCATTATTTAATGTTTATTTCTTAAGCTAGTTTGAGTTGGCTATATATAGAAAGAACATACACATTTTTACAGAAGATTTGGTTAATTAGTACTACAATCTGTTAGTCATGATGTGGAGCAGCACAACAACCATGAGAGATTAACTTTTAATTCAGTCTACTGAAGTTTAATCAACTATTATCTAAAGCAGTGGTTCTCAACCTTCCTAATGCCGAGACCCTTTAATACAGTTCCTCATGTTGTGGTGATCCCCAACCATAAAATTATTTTCGTTGCTACTTCATAACTGTAATTTTGCTACTGT